TTTCCATTTTACTTGTATCTATGCGTTTATTGCAGCAACTAAGTGGAGAGACAGCACCAGGGGGCAACATGTTGAATATGATCAGCGTCCTGACATATTCAGGTGAATGTTGCTCATACTGTAAAGTCTGATGTTCGAATAACTCTGCTTCCACTAAATACTCTTTTCCCCCCATTCTGGTGATGTCCCAGAGGGACCGTCCGCTATGCTAGTGTGCATGCTCACTTAGGAAGGACTGCTAGTAGAAGGGATGATTTAGAATCACTTGCATATACGCTTATTTTTCTCCACAGAGGCAGGTTGCCATGGCAAGGTTTTCAGGTACTTCCTTGTCCTACTTTCTGACCTTTAGACTGGAGTATTCGGCTAAGCCCTATGTCTACTTTATTTTTCTGATGTCCTCTTCAGCTGTTTTACTCGTGTTCAATCTTTTTACCTCAGGGTGATAACAAATCATTCCAGGTGGCTAAGAAAAAGATGGCAACAGCTCCTGAAGCGCTATGTTGCTTTTGCCCTGCCCCTCTCAGAGAATTTCTTGAAACTGTTGTTAACTTGAAATTTGACGAAGAGCCAAAGTATTCAAAGTTAATATCTATTTTTGAGGGTATGATTGCTGCCGATCCTGCAACCCGACCATTAAATACAGATGGTGCTCAAAAGGTGATTCTTTTATTACCCGAGTACATGTTCTGCTTTCCTTTATTTGATGTTCATAATCATTTTATAGCTTTTATTTATTAACTTTTTTGCTAGATTATCCAAATCGGCCAAAAGCGACCCAGATTGAATCTTGATGAGGATGAAGAGGAACAGCCGAGGAAGAAAGTTCGTATGGGAGTCCCAGCATCACAATGGGTTTCAATTTACAATGCTAGGAAGCCTATGAAACAGAGGTTAAAAAAAAAGATCTTTCTCTTAGAATGGTGGTAGTTCAGTTCATGCTATCTGATATTGTTTTATTTCTCAAGTTACCGGGGTGTTCTGTTGTCTAATCTGAATCCTGAAACAGTAAGTACTTGGTTTGAACATAGATTGGAAGCATTGTTTCCTCTTTGTTCTTTTTTGGTTCCGGCTGCTTCTGTTAAAGGGGGAAAATAGACCAGAATATATTTGTCAGTGGTTCTGGGATGGTGAAGCTTACCCACATAACCTAAAAGAAAAAAAATTTTGGATAAAAAGTTGGGGAAAATGACAAAAGGACTATTGTGTATGTGTATATGTGTGCGTGTGTATTTATATATGTAGATAGTCCTCTGCCATTGCCATAATGTCATTGCCTATTGAATACCCTTTTTTATCCTCTTTTTGTTTGGTTCTACACAAAAGGTACCATTATAATGTATCGGATGCAAGATTAGCGCAACATGTAGAAAGAGGGGTAGAAGATGGGTTGTATATAAGTTCTGTGGCATCATGTTCCAACTTGTGGGCTATTATTATGGATGCTGGGACTAATTTTACAAGCCAAGTTTTTGAGATATCACCTTTTTTCTTGCACAAGGTAAGTTATTTGCATAACCTGTTTTGTTGACAAACAGAGATATTGTCCTTATCTGGAACTTCACCGACCAAGTGACCTCTAAGTGCAATTATTTTTTTATTACAGGAGTGGATTATGGACCAGTGGGACAAGAACTACTATATCAGCTGTCTTGCTGGTGCAACCAATGGAAGTTCGTTAGTGGTAATGTCAAAAGGTAAGATTGCAAAATATGGTGTCTGTTATCAATCAGTTAAACATAATTATACTTGCTAAAATGCTTTCGGATGAATCAAGAATAGGGAAACAATTCTTAAGTATTGCTACCATTATTTGTGCATCTTGTCCATTTGGGTGAGCTGTAACAGTGGCTTGTCTCTGTGGAGATTAGTCTATGTGAACCATTGTAGAGCTCAGATTGACAGATTTCTTGTGCTAAGTATTTGTCTCTTGAGGGAACAAAGTGAGACTGGGATGTGCTAATACTCTAAAATTGCTTCATTCTGGTTGTGCTGTATAATTTCAATTTTTGTGCTAATACTGGACAGATGACTCAATTTTCATTTTGCAAGTGTCCATGCCACATCAAGTTGTGATTTATTGTTCCTTTGCAACCCTTGTCCCCTCCACCCCAAAAAAAAAAAAAAGAAAAGAGGAAGGACCAGGAGTTTATCTCCTTGGGCTTGGGAATTAGCATGAAGCCTGGTTTAGCCTGGTTTACTATTTTTACTTTTCCTCTTTTTGAGCAAAAAGTTGTATGCATAATAATTTTTTGTAACCTTGGACGTGTGATCGATCAGTTTTATTAGTTGAATATCTTGCCTCTTAATACTAAATTCCTGTTACTCTGCAGGCACCATGTATAACCAACAATCTTACAAAGTAAGTGATTCCTTTCCATTCAAGTGGATTAACAAGAAGTGGAAGGAAGGGTTTCACGTGACATCTATGGCTACTGCTGGTACTCGGTGGGCTGTGGTCATGTCCCGAAACTCTGGCTTCAGTGATCAGGTTAGGTTACTTGTTTCTTCGTTTTCTGGTTATTTTGCAGATTTGACCCAATTCACCCCTTATCAGCTGCACAAACTTTTAGACATTTTGCCTCAAAACCATTGAACTAATTTGCATTTTTAGACATTTGTGCTAGGGTGGGAAAATGGAAAAATCGCCATCTTAGATTGATTCAACTTAGACAACAGTGGATGCTGTGCAACTGGTGCAAATTGCCCTTTTTTATCTTCTTCATGCAGTGGAATGTCTTGAGAATTTTTGCCTAGAAGAGTTTTATGTCCCTTCTTTATTATTTTTTTTTGGGGTGTATGCATGCCGTTTAAACTTTAAAGTCTTATTGGTGCTGTTCACAGTTGTTATGTTAATTGACAGGGAGAAGGGAAAGGAATTGAGCTATGAATTAACAGAAACTTGGCATTCCCCACCTCTTTTAAAAAAACATGGGCTGTTACCGTCAGAAGAGTGCCTTGTGTTCCCTATTACTGTCCTGGATGTGTCTTTATTTCTGTTAAGCATAAAACGTTTTGACTGAGATATCTTTGTTTTTCCAGGTTGTGGAGCTTGATTTTCTTTATCCCAGTGAGGGCATTCATAAACGGTGGGATAGTGGTTACCGAATTACAGCCACTGCTGCTACCTGGGATCAAGCTGCTCTTATCTTGAGTGTGCCTCGGCGCAAACTGCTTGATGAGACTCAGGAAACTCTAAGAACATCTCAGTTCCCAAGCACCCATGTTAAGGTAAATATTTGTTGGGATGTGCTATTTGAACCTTGTAACCTGTCGTTTTCAATCGTTGTTGCTTTAACTTTATTGCATACCGAAGGGCTATCCTGCAGTTTGGTTTGGCGGACAAGGATCTTGTTATCAAAATACTTCATTTATTGTGGAGGTTAACTTTGTTGTCTCTGTATGTGTTTACTATAAGCAGGAAAAATGGGCAAAGAACCTCTATCTTGCTTCCCTGTGCTATGGGCGGACTGTGTGTTGATTCTGAGCATGAACCAGGAAGTCTGTAGTTAATTGTGAGGATCCAGCGGAGAAGATTGAATTATGTTTGGACATTTGTCCAGATTTTTTCCTCATTTCTTGCCCTTGATATTTGATAACAAAGTTGCTCTGGGATTAGATGCCTCGGAAGAATCCATGGCCTAATGTAAAGATTGTTCTTGTGGAAATATATACTTGATGGTGATTGTAGAGGTGCCTGTTATGAGCCTGGAATCCCCCCCCCCCCCCCTTTTTTAAACATGTTTTGTAGTGATAAAATGAGGCAGAGAAAGTTCAGAAATCAATGCGTTGAAAAGAGGAGTTAATTGAAAATATTTATCTATACCCGCATATGAACCAAAAAGGTGGATTAGGTGATGTACATGAATTGAGTTGGTTTAAAACCCTTGAAGATAGAAATCTAGACATCTGAAGTTGAAATTACAAAGAATGAGTCTGCGAGTTTCTGCTTTGGCTAGCTATTCGTGAATAATCATATTGAAAAAGAATAGGCATTCTTATTCCCTTTTTTTTTTGGTGAATGGAAGAAGCGCGTGAATTGCTATTCATATCATTAGCACCAAACTTTCCTATTTCCACCTAAAGATAAATGTGACTATGTTCTTTGTTAGTCTACGAAAGTTGCTGGAGTCAAATGAAGATCACAATTTGATTTTTTCCTTCATTTTTTAATTTTACAGTGTTTAAATTGTACATTTTATTTTTTCAACAAATGGAAACGATTTAAATTGTACAATTGCTATTAAGAATATGAAATGTACCTTTAATCCTTTTATATTCAAATTGAATATGACACAATCATCCTCACTTTCACTAATTAACTTAAGAAGATAAAAGTTGATTTGTTTATGACAAATACTTTTACTCAACAACCAAACAATTAAATTTGAAAATAAATAAGAGAAAGTGACTAACATAAGTGTGACCAACTCACATCAAGCTTCCTTCTTGCACAACAAATAACGAAACCTTCAGTTTGGGATTGCAATTGGAACGGACATTCAACCATTTAGATGAACTCTATATGAACCCTATAAAAAGTTTCCAACCTCTATAAAACCATTGAAAATTTCATACACTAATTAGGTTTCGAGTGCTAGAATTTTTACGAGCTGAATCGAACACAATATTTGGTGTTCAAACTCTGTTTGTATATTATACGAATAGGGTTTGAGTTCAACTCTAATATTAATTAATGAGTTATGAATATTATTCGAGTTCAATTTGTTTATTTGTATAAATATTCGAGTACCGATTTGTTTATTAAACGATTGACTTTAAACCGTTCGATTCGTTAAAAGTTCTATAAGCATCTAAAAAATGTTTAGTCTAAACTCTCTCATGTTTCACATTTACCTTCACTTTTTCATTTTTTTCCTCAAAACTTAGACCTCATCTTAACCAATGCCTATTGGCTGAGTTTTTTTGTACATTGTTTAGTGAGCAATAATACATAATAAGTAGTATTTGTATTATCTTAGGTCTAGTTGCGCTTTTGGACCAGCTCACCCATAACACTACACACTGAAAACGGTAAATCATTAGAAAATTTGCATGATTTCCATTTATGAATAATTTTGACTAGTGGGTTCTGCATTTTGCTCTCCCTACGGCCAATCTGAACCGGCGATACTCGCCGGAGCTCATATTACAGCGGTTGATTTCAATGACTTCATCACAACATAAATGAAGAACAACAGCGTGCCGCCGCCATCCCATATGTTTGCATCCTGCAATGCCCTTTCTCTTCTCCCCAACTCGCATTCTCAAGCCGTCATTTAAGCCCAGTAACAAGAATAATACTTGCATAGTCCAAAACTTTCTGAATCTTTGCTCTCAAGGTCACCTTCAAGAAGCTGTCAAGTCTTTAGACCTCTTAGCGCAAAAGGGCATTCGTTTGGACTGTAAAAAATTAGCTTTTCTCATACAGAAGTGTGCTGAGTCCAAGAATTTGAAATTGGGCAGATGGGTTCACCTCCATCTAAAGGTTACTGGTCTCAAACACCCCAATACATTTTTAGCCAATCATTTGATCAATATGTACGGTAAATGCGGCGATCACATTGAAGCACGCTTAGTGTTTGATAAAATGAGCTTGAGAAATTTGTATTCTTGGAACAACATGCTTTCTGGGTATGCTAAACAACTTATGGTAAAGCCTGCAAGGAGGTTGTTTGATAAAATGCCCGAGAGGGACGTTGTATCGTGGAATACTATGGTAATTGCCTACGCGCAGAGTGGTATATGTGATGAAGCTTTGAGGTTTTATAAAGAGTTGAGGAGGTCAGTTATTGGGTTTAATGAGTATAGCTTTGCTGGAGTGGTGACGGTTTGTGTGAAGTTGAAGGAGTTGAGGCTAACAAAGCAGGTCCACTCTCAAGTTTTGGTTGCAGGGTTTTCACTAAATGTGGTCCTTTCTAGTTCCATTGTTGATGCATATGCTAAATGTGGGGAATTGGTTGATGCCAGGAAATTATTTGATCAGATGGGAAGAAGGGATGTTCTGGCTTGGACCACTTTGATATCAGGATATGCCAAATGGGGTGATATGGAGTCAGCCAGGGTGTTATTTGATGTGATGCCTGAAAGGAATCCTGTTTCTTGGACTGCTATGATTTCAGGTTATGCTCGTAATGACAAGGGACATGAGGCCCTTGACTTGTTTATGAAGATGATGATGCTTTGCATTAGACCTGATCAGTTTACTTTTAGTAGTTGCCTCTGTGCTAGTGCAAGTATAGCCTCACTCAAACATGGTAAACAAATCCATGCACATTTGATAAGGATTAAATTTAGGCCTAATTCAATAGTTTTAAGTTCTCTCATTGACATGTATTCAAAGTGTGGTTGTCTGGAACTTGCAAAGCAAGTTTTTGATGTTGTGGGTGACAAACAAGACGTAGTATTGTGGAACACAATGTTATCTGCACTTGCACAGCATGGTTCTGGTGAGAAAGCAATAAATTTGTTTGCTGAAATGGTGACAGCGGGCGTTAGACCAGACAAAATCACCTTTCTTGTTCTTCTCAGTGCATGTAGTCACTCAGGGCTTGTGCACGAGGGACTTAGGTTATTTGAGTCAATGAATCGCGATCACAATACTGTTCCAGATCAAGAACATTATTCTTGCTTAATTGATATTTTAGGTCGAGCAGGACGATTCCATGAGGTAATGGATCATCTAAGAAAGATGCCATGCAAACCAGACGAACATGTCTGGAATGCCTTAATTGGTGTTTGTACGATGCATGGAAATATAGAGCTGGGAAGAATAGCAGCAAAACACCTTCTTCAGTTGAATCCTCAATCACCAGCAATCTACATTTCACTGTCAAAAATATATGCAGCACTTGGCAAGTGGGACTCTGTGATGAGGTTGAGACAGATAATGAATGAGTGGAATATTAGCAAAGAACAAGCACTTAGTTGGTTAGAAATAGATCATAACTTGCATCAAACTACTGTATCTGATAAAGTAAATTCATCATCATTAGGAGAAGCTAACCCACTTGTTGAACTGTTGGCTGATCACAGTGGAATATGATCACCCAGTAACAAATGGTGAAGACAGAACCTTTTCCTATTTTGAAATGTTTTGTCCTGGTGAGTAAAAAAGGCATACGAAGTTACTTTTTTTTAAACCCCTGTATTTCTTATTGATTAGATTATTAATGAAACACCCCACTAGATGGGAATTGGAGAGGAGATTTGTCTTTTTTCGGAAGCTTTGTATAGATGGGATGGAAACATCCATATTTGTCTTTTTCATTGCTTTCTTAGTGCATTCTTAAGATGAGCCCTACAATACCATATCTGGTCAATTTAGCTTTTCACATTCATGATAGTGTTGAAATATCTTTTCCTAAATTGTTCATGAATTTAGTAATAAGAGGTCTACTTGTCAGTATAAGATCTTCCCACACGATTGTATCTTTGCTTTCCTTCTCTTCCTCTTTTGCTTTCTTGGATTGTAATTTTTTAAGTACCTGCTGTTTATCTTTAGAGGAAAAATTTTCTGCTTGTTGAATTCCTTTCATTGTTCTTTTGTTCAAAGTTTCAAGGTTTATTATGGATGGGTAGGGAGATAAAACCTCTCATTCCTACCTATGAAATAAGGAAAAATAGATGCTTCAAGGTGAGTATGTCCCTCACCCACTTGGCTATCTGCAATAATTAATTAAGCATTGATTAACAAATCAAAATGCAAGATTTGGGTTTTAAGATGGTATCTGCTACTTGCACATGCTCAGTCAGCTAATAGATTCCTTGAATCTTTGTTTGATGGACCTTTAAAAGTTTTATTTTTAACATGATAAAATGAGAAATGTGCTGTTCTTGGGGGATTCTATCATGCATTGGTTTCCTGGTTTTCAACTATTCTCCAAGAGACATTGCCAGCATTGTGAGTTTTCTTTTTGTGGAAGAAATCCTGGGTAACCAGTAATACCAGGCAAAGGATTTTTTTTTCCCAGTCTTGTGTATTGTATTTGGACTGCTTTAACCCTGTATGGTGCATCGACCTCCATATTACTGCACATAATTCTACTTACTTATCTGTTCCTTTTTAGCTTTTTTATCCTTTGACTGCTTATTTATGTTTGATTTTCTGGTTGATCTGTTTTGGTGATGTACTTGTTTTCTGTCTCATCGCTGGTGACTTTTATGTCCGGACTTTTGCCTGTTATGTGTTTTCATTCATGTTAATAACCATCATGTTTTAGGAGGTCTGGCTTATTCTCTTGGCTTGGCAGTTAAGTTTAGTATTCTGATCTATTTATAACTCAATTCTTTCTTTTATATTGTTTGGTTCACATTATATGCTACAAGTCCCAAAAAGCCAGTTTGGAAGGTAGGATTAGGGATGTTAATGGATGAAAATGAAATTTAATAAAAAAGAAGAGATATGGTGTGGCGGAAGGCTATGACTTTCAGCAATAATGGAACGTTAAGAATTCCCTTCTTCTTTTTCCTTCATATATTTTCTAAATTTAAACAAAATAGTAATTTTGCTCAGTTGTAGTAAGTGGAGGTTTTGCTGATAGGCTAAATGGACAACTTCACATGATAAATGATCTGTTTGCATTATTGAGATGGACAAAAAATTGGAGGATTTGTAGCTCAATTCATAGAAGCATGGATACTCTTAAGATGTTTAGCAAATGAAGATGCATTGTGGCTAGCTGGATGGGGATAAGCCCATGACTTTACTTGGATTGAGCAAATCTATACTTTCAGGCAGTTTTTAAGATGGAGTAAATTAAAATTGTACATAGAAGCTGTTCTGAGTCTATTATGGTGGTAAGTTGTTGGAAATGATATGTTGAGAGTCTGATTGTCTTTGCTGCTGCTTTTTTTTTTTAAAAAAAAATAAGAATTCCATTTATAAGATGATTATTTTTTTATTTCATTTTCTTTCCCTCTCTTGATAGGATTTTATGTTTGAGTTGGAGTCTTGTTCCTCTTTTCTAAAATCATTGCATAACAGAATGGCTTCATTCACTTAAATTTGTATTTCAGTCCCTTCTGCTGTTTTTGTTGGTCCTTTTTTTAAAAAAAAAAAATTTAGACACCTTACTTCTTTTCTCCCCTTCACTGACTTGTATCCTTAAACGTCTATGAAATGATGATTTAACGCCTTAATTGTATTTTTTTCCCTGGTTTAAGAAGGTAACATTTGGAGTTATTGAAGGATGTTTTTGTTGCAGCTAATCAGTGAATTGGGATTGTGGGAAAAATGCAGTTGGTTCAATGACAAAGAATGCGAAAAGGACTGTGCCATTCTTTTGAGAGAGTTAGATCTGGGAGTGAATCACAGACATATTTCTTGAATGAAAAAATAGAGTGAAAGGACTTGCTTCTAGAAATGATTATTTGAAGCTTACAAATCAATGAATTGTATAAAGCATACCCATATGCTTGAACTGAAGATTTGGGCAATCCTTGGCATAGAAGTACAAATCAAATCAGTTGAAACAGTACCAAAAAGTGGTTTTGTAATTTGAGGCCTCATAGATTGAAGTTCATGTAAGCAATAGTCACTCTACCTCTAAGCTGGTCTATGGCTCCTGCGAAGATAGATTGCAGTATTTCAGCTCATTATTGTTTTTATTTCTTGTTGGAGTGGACTATGCTTTAATTCGTAGGTATAAGGGAGTCTTTTGTTTTGCAGCTTGATTCCTTTGCTGCTTCATGATTTTGGGGGTGCTTTCTTGCTTTGCAAGATGCCTTGGAGAAAAGGTTTGCCAGCATTTTGTGAAGATCACATGCAGTTGATGATGTCAGATAGGTTGGTATTCTGAATTTACGTGCGGTCTTATAATTGTTACACTTACATTTACCTTTTTGTGAATGAACTTTTTGGGAGGTCCCTAAAAGAGGGAAAAATAGATTGGCAAAACTTATTTAATTCTGCTTGTTTTGGTCAAATATTGCTGGACGTTCATTTTACACATCTCGTAATGACTGCAATTTTTTCTTACAAAAATTGGTAACAATTCCTCGTGCCTTGGAATAATAATGGTCTTATTACAGGTAGTTTGATTTGTGTGTTAAAGCAATTGGACTAAAGAGTGGCTACCTCTCCTTCTGTTTCTTTGTCATGTAATGCTTTTTTTTGTTTTAGTTCTGGAATATGGAAGAGTTATCAGCCTAGAAAGTATGGCAAATGATAAATTTGGCCACGTGTTTTTTTTGTGGGTGTTCATGTAAACTTTGTTGAGCACTTAATGGTTCCATTATGGAGATAGCTTAGGCAGTTTTTATTACACATTTCTGTGGTTGTGTAGGCATGTATGTTTTCACGACATCTACATTTTCCCTTCTCCCTTCTAGTCGACTTAGTGGCTCCAATTTTCATTCCAATAAACTTTATGCAAAACTTTCATCATATTGAGTTTCTCAAGTAGTGAGTCCAGAGCCCGCGCTGGATTGTTCGGATGGTAGAGGCGGGGTAGTTACTCCAAGTCCGCCTGGGTTCGATTCCAGTCTGCAACCCAACTGATGAATTCTTAGGTATCGGTCGGGTCCGCTCTGTCTGGGTGATGTGCGGGATTAGTGGGGTGGTCCGGATACCCCACAGTGTTAGTCAAAGCTCACAATTTTAATGTAAAATATTACACCAAGTTATCACAATCTAAAGGACCAAAACTCAAGACACCAAACTAAAACCAACCCGAGGATCCTGACTTCTTACAAGATCATCCCAAATCCTATTTATAAGAATGGTGAATTCATGGATTTTTAACCATACGTGAAGGCTGAAAATTTGCCTACATTATTATAGCTAAAATTATCTACAAAATGAAAGAAAGAACTTGGTGACTTTTCACATAATTAATTTTTGAATTATTACATATTATGATTAATCTTTCTATAAAGAGTGATAGGTCTAAATGATTAATCTTTCTATATAGAGTGATAGGTCTAAATGCATGCCACATCACACTAACTAATTCTTAAACTCTATAACTAATTCTTAAACTTGAATTATTATATACTATATGGATTAAACTTTCTAATAAATTAAGTAACAATTTTAGTATTTTGACCATATCTTTGTGTAGAAAAGTCGAAATTGAGTGCTGTTTGTTACGTTGTAAACTATAGTCAAAGTGCTTCAAATCTATGTAAATAACTAACCCCAATTCCGAACCTAGAAAATTTGATGAATCTTTAAATTTGACTCATATAATTCACTAAAGTGAATAGATGATCTTTGTTATAGGTTATCACATGGAGCTAGTGTTTTGTGTCTTTATTATAATAAATTAATATGGTTTAGAGTCTATAGAAATGAATTAATACTTTTGCTAATTATAAGTGGCTAAGTGGTAGATTATAAATTTGAACCCAAAATACACGTTTTTTAGCAAAAAATTCTATTCTCAAAATTTTCTTTAATTAATTATTTATTGTATACCAATTTTTCTATCAATTAAAATATATTTGAAACATTTTATTATATATGTAATATTTAATTATCCTATTATATAAAAAAATGATGTAATAATCAATCACTAAATCATAGTTAACTAAATGTATTGTGCTTAACTATTTTGTTAATAAGATGATTTATACACATATAAAGTCAACTTTTCCATGTATATTGTTCCATAATTGAATTTGGGTTTACAACAAGAAAGAACAAGTTGTTTAGTTTAATCAATTTATTATAAGTAGTTCCAAATTTCTCTATATTTTTCAAATTGTCCGAAATACTTTATATAGCACAATTTTAACCTTAATTAGCAATATAATTTTATTGATTGCACATGAATTACATTATTTGTCACTATATTTATGATTTGCAAACTTAAAAATTATAAATATGACAATTTATTACATTTTTTTGTAGGGTCTACCGATTCTACGATTCGATTTTGCTAACCAAAAAACGATCCTAGGTAGGATTCTGATTTTGAAAACCTTGATCTGAATACATGTCATATCATCCAGACTTAGATTTAAACAACAAACTTTGCATGTTGGGAATGCAATAGCTATGCAATTGTGTATATAAATGCATGTCACCTCATCTAAACTTAAATTTAAACAACAAATTTTACATGTTGGAAATGCAATTGGATGCACAAGTGTGTATATTGTCAATGCATGAAATATTTACTCATGGGATTTATTACAAATTTGGTAAGGTTTATAATATTACCTGAGTAACTAAATTGAAGTCATTAAAAAAAAAAAATTGAGAGCCCATTGTATCAATTTACCCAAATTCACACAAAAAAGAAAAGGAAAAAAAAGAAAGAAAGAAGCAATAAAGGAATACCATAAATTGGCAATATCCTCCACACCCGGAGAGCGAGAGTGTAACAGAGCAGAAATGGCGTCTCAACTGTTTTCCCATTATTCTGCAACGGTGGCCTCAGCTTTCCCGCTCTTCTCTTCACCACGCTTCAAATCTTCCCCAACCCATTGTCAGATTCTCCCTCTCTTCTTTATCTCTATGGTTTCTTTTACATACATTCATGTTTTAGAGCAGCTATAGCTTACATAGAAGATAGACAGATAAGATAACTGCATAATTTACAAGTGTTTTCCTCGTATCTTTCTTTATCTTTCTCTATTTAGCTCTTGCACTGGTATGAAGCAATTTAAAAGTTTTAGCTTACTGGTTTCAACTTTTGGTTTTTGCTGATTATCAAATTATATCCCACAGAACTGCATAAAGCTGATGTTTTTATACTCTTTCTACTGTTTTTTGGTTACTAGAATTTCTTTGCACAATTAACTTCATTTTTCATATTTCTTTCGTTGTTCAAACTAGATAAAGAAAACCCAAAATTTGAAATATAATGGGTGTGCCCCCCACTCCCAAACCCCCGGTTTTTGGATTAAAGAATTGATTTTGTGATGTGGGATTGCAGCCAAATTGGAGCCAGCCAGGTTTAATTTGAGATGCAGCTTGGGTGATGAGAATTGCTCACCCTCAGACCATTCATCACAACCCAGTGATAAAGTGGTCTGCCCCTTTCTTTAATCCTTTTTCTTATTCGGTTTGTACTTTATTGAGTTTCTTATGTGATCATTGACAGTTTTAGACAGACTGCAGTCAACAAATTGTTGAAGCTATATGAAACTTCTCAATACCTTGCACAGTTTTACGAAATGGAAAATGCTCGTCTGTGAATTTTGAATTTTTTGGGTGAATTTAATTATCTGTAATGAAGATGAGTAGAACTTTCATCAGGGAAATGCCACATGAGCTCTGATACAGTTGTGGTATCAACTATTCCTGTCTGAAAATTAATTTCTTTGTTAATCTCTGATAGAGTCTTAGTTGTTTCCAAGGAGCTCAAAAGCTAATTATGGCTTATGCTCTTTAGTTTTACATCTATGCACCTATGCAACATTGTTGTAAGACTTTAGTTATCTGCAAATGTCGAATGCTTGAGCCCTTTGAACCTGAACTTATATGAATACAATAGGCACACATCAGTAGACATATTTGTAGTTTAGTTGTACCAAAGAATGATGATTTTAAATTTCTTAATGACAATGTTTATGTGAATTAGAAACTTGTATGTCTATGCTGCTAAAATTATCGATGGGTTATATTGTACAACAATTACAGCTGGGATGGTTGTTTCTTCTGAAACAGGGTTTGGAAACATCAATTTCACGACGCTTGTGTCTGACTTGTTTATGTTCAACAGTAGCACTGATAAACATTTCTAGCAGTTCTGTTTCTGAACCTAAGGCAATTGCTTCAGAAGCAAAGGAGCGAGCTGTTTGTCGGAATTGTGGGGTAGCGGAGCAGTCGTTTGTAAGTTTAGAAATTCGCTATTTGTTCTCTTTGTCTCTTGTCTTCTTTTTGTTTACATTCTGTATAATTCATTTTGTAGATCCAAAACTGTTAGAAGTCTAAGGCATAGATGGAGTTTGACTGTCCACTCGATTCTTTGATTTATCGAATTCCGTGGACAAAGTTTCATTATTTTCATGAAGCATATATATTAGCCTGTGGTCAAGATGACTTTAAGTGATAACAGGAACCACCATAATGCATGATAACAATCTCTGTTCTGATAAATGATAGCTTGGTCAATCTTAGATATTGGGGGTCCTCACTTCATTTCTTCTTTACTATGTAATGTCATTTAAAGGGATGCTTGTAAACTTATAACTCACGAAGGCAAAATGCTTAGTGTTTGTCAATTACAATGAGATATAAAGAAAAACATAAAAAGAGACTATTTTTCACTGATCAACGGGATTAATTCACTTCCTATGACTACAATTATAGAATCATGCCAAGCTTGTCCTAGTGGCAGGGTTGAATATTCCATTCATCCTTCTTTGGTAGAAAATGTAGTTTAAATAATAAAAGCCAGGATAGAAGTTCAGTGACTTGATGCTAGCAAAGCTCTTATGACACTAAAGCTACTTTTCTTCAGTTCCTTATATTAAATGAATCTTCATTACCTAAGGTTCTTTGTACATAAGCTGTAATAGCAACACAAACCTCTTGGTAATTATTTTTCATCAAAATTCAAAAGACCATATCCTAGATATGGCTCAATATACAAAACACATATGGTTTACTGAACTATGGAAATGCAACTGGGCTGAGCTGTGAAGATGAACCTCTTTGTTTACAAAGACAATGCTCATTTGACACTTGACATGATGCATATATTTTGTTGCCTACATGTTCATTTCACCTCCACCGACTATGTTCAAGTCTTTTTCTCTAGGGCTGCATGTAGAGTATCATACTCTATTATGCCATACATGTATCAGTTAACATTGACAGGGTACATTT